ATCGATTAATTTATTCTTGACAATAATAACGTACCTCCTTTATTGCTGCAACGATCACAACTGTCTGTTACGCACAGATTGGCTAACCAAAAAGACTGCACGTTTTGTGTGAATTACGTTTGCTGCGATCTAATAATTGCGTCGTTAAACTAAATGCACTCTCTCAGGCAGTCTTACCCTAAATTTATGTGTTTATAAATTTATTTTTTATCGATTTTAGTTCAAATAATATTAATTTTTAATTGTACAAGTTATCGTGATATTTTACAACACTCCTCCCCATCTATTCCATACTACCTTCTTTCTTCTATTAATAGACTACAAGAACACAAATAAGTAAGAAGTGCCAAACACTATCAAGACTTGGTGTCTAATAATATTTCTATGTAATTTTTAAATTTTTTAGTTATAACGACTGCGCTAATTATATTATTAGATTTAAAATATAATTATAAACTAAAGTTGAAATAACAATATATCATAAATTATTATAAGTTGATCGCAATTTAATAATGATACTAATTAGCATCTTAAAACATTTCAAAGGACTTATTTTAAAAATTACGCATATATATAAGTTTTTACAATATTTTTAAGATGCTTATTAGCATCACTATTAAGTTGGCATTCAATATGATGCTAATAACACTGCAAAGAATATATTACAAAAAAATAAGTTTTTTTTACAGTGATATAATATGCTTATTAACAATATTATGAAATTGACGATTAGTTTAATTTGTGATATTATTATTTTAACTTCAAGTTCAAGTCCGATAGTACTTGCTACGCAGTTTACATAACCGGGAAAATGAATTTAAAATTCAATATTATTAGGTAACAAGATTATCTCCACATTATTCAACTGCATTATTAATGTATTAAATCCTGTATAATGTCAATATGATTTAATCGACGTGCGACGCGTGTTTTGGACATCTACTTGTTGAGTAAACAAGGTTGTCGTTGCCGCACTGGGTTATTGCATTCCTATGGTAAAATTTAAAGAAGCACTAGTAAGACGAGTCACTCCATGTTTTTGCACATCTTTCGAATAGGAGATAGCGAAAAGCATTGAATAATATCACTATCATTATCTCTATAGATCATTATTCTCTATGTAATGTCTATGGACGTTACATTTAATGATTATCAAATAATTCTTACAAATAATTTTTGCGATTAACGAATATTAAGTGTATTGCATTAACGATTATTTACAGAAGCTAATACATTACGAGATTCACTATATGAAATAAAAATTAGGATAATAATAAACGGTATAAATATTTTTTTATTATATTTAATCGGTAATAATTTCTTACATAATGCTTCAATTTGATCTTGCATCGTAGTTTGAATGTCTTACCGATATGAATTTAATCATCTGTCATTTTGAGTATTGCAAAGTAGAGTAATAAATTGTAAGATTGAGTCATTAGTAATGAAGATAATGAAAGGTTTTGATGACTGTTTATTAATAATTAATTTGAGACAGGAAAAGTATTCATACATTAACTTAATAAAAATATATGCGAAATAGATATTTCAAAACGATAACAATCTAGTCGGTGTACGCTCTTGGCCTTGAATATCTATCTGTGTGTGAATTCCTATCTGTGTTAGGAAAAATAATTAAAATCGAACATAGTAAATAAATATTTTTAATGCGGTGAAGAAATGAAAGAATCGACAGAAATATTTATTTAAAGGATCAATAAAAATATTATTTGAAATAAGTATTTTGTATAATAAATATAAAAAGGCAAATAGTATTTTTTGTAGATCCATCTTTTTAAATAAATTTTTCTACCAAATTTATTTCAATGTTTCTTTATAGTACTGATTAGTATGCCGCGTGTTATTGTATACAAAGTTACAGCTCATAATAGAGTCGAATTAGTATAAATAATATAACTGTTTCGCCATAGCATTTCAAAACACGGTTCATTTTTTACAAATAAGCAATTATTAATTAATTGAATTATGATTAACAAATAATTTGCACATATAGCGAAACCGTGAATATTTGTTTAATCAAATATATTTAAAAAATTGCGCTATTTATTTATTTGCAGGTACGAGTTTAAAGGAGGGACTCAGTATCTTGAGGAGCTCATCTCTAACAACGGAGAAGTTAATATTCCTATCGTCGCCTATTTAAATGAACGAATGAACCGCAGCCAATTTACTACATCATACGTTCGGGAGTGTCGTGCAAAGTGCCGCGTGAATTAGCATATTACCACTTTTTTCTATATTCTCAGGCGTGATAGTTGTTTTAAGCTAGATTACTGCCCTAGGCGATAATCATGATCCGGTTTAATCATTGATCTTGCTATTAGTGCACTAGTTGATCACTAGTTGTAGTGATCAACTCGATGCGATATGAAGAATGGAAATAATCTTTATTATGGATCTAGCTCTCAACTTTTTCACAGAAAAGATTTTTCTCTGTGTTGGATACTACCTATGTATTACTAGGAATTAGATCTTTAATCGACTAAATTGGGCTATTCGGCACTAAATGCTTTGGTATAATGCGGTTATCGCTTGAAATTTTTTTATGGATAAAATTACACGTTAATTCGCGTGTGAACTTTATAAGTGACATATAAAGTATCGTGCAATCGTATTTACCCGAATGTTCTCGAATGGCGTGTCTAAAGGATGAAATTAACAATCCGCACAACTTAAGATGAGGAGGAGGTCTAGGAGAGACATCAGGCATCGGCGGATAAACCTTGTGGTGAGTTATTTTTTATAATTTATGAATATATTAAGTGAAAATGGAGAATTTATTCAACATAAATAAGTAACGAGAGAGTTATATTAGGTGATATTTGGACAAGTCTTAGGATATAATCTAATAATATTTTTGTATGAATTTTTACATTTTCCAGTTTAAGCAAACTGCACTCCGATTATTTGTTGGTCTTAAAATGCAAAATCTTTAAACTAAAACTGATAAAAAAAAAATATTATAAATTAAATTAATAAGTAATTTAATATTATTACTAATAAGAATCTTTAATTGTAAAAAAATTATCGCAAAAAATATTATCCCAATCGAGTTACCAGTCAAATTGGTAAAATGCTCGCACGGAATTTGGCAGATTCAGATTTGATTTTCGACTGAAATAAATATATTTTTTGTTTGTTTTTGAACTAAAAATTTACACAAAAATATTGTGAAGCATTAAGATCCAATATGACTCTTTTTATTCATTTGTGTAAAATTATTCATTATTTCCTATTTATTTACATTGTTTTAAAAATGTTAAAATCACAAGAATTTTAAAATAATAAAAAAATAATATTAACTTTTATAAAAGTTTGTAAAAAATCTTTATGTTGTTAAGATATTTATAAAAGATCTTTTTTAGAAAACAAATTATTTTTATGAACATCTAAATAAATAAAAAGCTCGTGTGCAAGAATTATTTTATACGTATTATAAATATTCATTATTTTGAGCGTTTTTTTATTTTAAATTTTATATATTACAGAATCAACATGACTGATAAATTCGCTGTTGCGCATCAGGTCGGTGAGTAATATATTGATTTTTTGTTGAGGTAATAGATCTGTGAAAATATCAAATATGCATACAAAAATTGATTAATCATAAGAATATAACAAGTAAATGTGATTACACAGATTCGTTGCTTTGAAATAGACAGATCAGATTATGTAGAATAATTCATCCTGAAGCATCATATTATTTATCAATTTATTATGATTACAAGATGCATTCATAAAAACATGGCGCTTAAAACATGTGATGCATTTGTTGGCGCGTTTAGTGCGTCTGGTGCACTATATACCATAGTGTATTATCATATATATATATGTCTAGATAAACGCTGTGGAGATATGTATGTATACATAATAAAACTATAGGTATAATCTAAAAGTATTAAAAGTAACATTAAAAATTGCAAATGCAATCATGAATTATTTGTTGTGATATTGTTTCTAATTTATTTTAATTGCTTTGAATTAAAATGATAACGATTTGCGATTTTATTTTCGAATTTTTCCATAAAATACTTGTATATGTGGAATATTTATTTTCTTATAATAATATCTATGTAGCTTCAATATAAAAACACGATAAACAAAGGATGTATAAGAGTCAGTTAGCTTCGCAATATATGTTACATTATCTTTAAATTATTTTTATAAATTACGCGTAATCGATAAATCAATGAAATAAAAACTCGATATATGAAGTTCATTAAATTATTTAATATTCGATAAATGCTTGAAAAAGAAAACGGTAGTACATATCATTGTCACTGTCAATATGATACGCTGTCATTATCATCGAGAAGTACCAATAATATAATAGTTTGGAAATCGAAGGATTTGTTTTCTTTTGTAATAGAATTTCTGATGTTCCATGGATCGTTTAACATATTTTTGAGGATTGATTTCACAGAATCTAACGTAGAAAAAAAATACACTGAATTTGCTTCCTACCTTTTGAAGATCATTCTTCTCTTTTTCGAATAACCGATATGCCATTCGGAAGGGCTTTTTAAATCGGAAGAGCCATTCAAATTAGATTTGTTATTACATAAACATAAACTGAAAACGCCATTTTTTAAAATTTATAAATTTTTAGAAAATAAATCTTTAAAAAATAATGCTAGCATGTATTAATGGATAGATCGTTTGATTTGTTAGTACAATTACATTATCAAAATGAAATATAGATACGCTTCCAAACATATTATATAATAATATTTATTGTTACATAGAATAATTACGAGGAACTCGTGTGCACTGCACCGGGTACAATAAATAAATTACAACAAATTTAAATACTTAATTAAAATTTATATATATTATAAAGAATATTTTATTATGATCAACTGAATTATCAATATACGTCATGAATGTCATGATAGTGACTAAAAAACATGTTCATGGTAAAATAAGATAACAAATAGTTTTAGAAGATAGTTTTATTATTTTAAAGTAATTTTTTTTCTCTTCCACTATAGAAGTGCTCACTTTATTCATTATAAATGCAACTCGCATCGCGTTAAATGCTTTTCTCAGATATAGTGCTGTTGCTATCTCTTCTTTGTGAAGTACGCAACATTCGCTGGTTATGGGTGGTTATGGTCGTCGGTAATTCTTTATCGTTGCTCATTCTTCTTAAGCTGGTATCTCTACCCAAATGATTTTTATTCTTAGCACATTTTGGTCCTCGTATGTTTGTATAGATAACATAAACAGCGAAAATTCCCACCAGAAACATCGCGATTCCTACGCCGCTTACCGTGCATACCTGTGTACGTAACGTGAAACATGAATATAAACTTACATTTATATTTTTGAAATTCTGACTTTTCGTAAAAGTTTAAAATTCTAAAAAATTTCTTATTTCTTAATGGGAATAACTTTTTTTATATACATATAATGTGTGAAGATAAATATTAATTATTATTAGATATATATTCTGTGAAAAATATAATTTTTTATTTTATTTATAATAGTGAAAATTTTTTTACATTTTTAAGACTATTTTTTGAATAAATGATCTGTTACGAAAACAATAATTTCGATTAATTTGTAATTTATAATTCTGATATACGAGTACATGGTATATGTATCATATAATGTATGAAGAAATGGTTTTTTTATTTACATAAAATAATATCAAAAGATGTTATACCATTGTCCACCACTCGTTATGGTTCATTCCCGAAACTAACACTTGTGTCGCGTTATTATTTTTTTCCTGCATCTTAATCTCTTTGACGCCTGTGACGCATCCCGATATCGATTCATTTTCTTCTTTTATAAGTTCTCTAAACATATACGACATGTTGTCGTTGCTTCTTGACGCTCCGTGATTTTTCCCGCTTTTCTGCATAATGTCCTTTTCTTTACCGTTTATTTTGTTTTTATCCCAATAAATTTTTGTTTTATTTTGATGAAAAACTATGTCACCCAGACGCTCTAGATTACTTGTTTTCTTTTTCATAGACAGATTAAGAAACTTCGATGTCTCTTCCAATTCCTTGTTGTGTATCATTAACATGTTCGATACCATATGATTCCAATCTAAAGGATTTATTTCATTGTTGCATTTTTTGTTTTTGCTGTAAAGTGTAATTTGGATTTAAGTTTACGCAATGAGTCATAACAGTAATAAATTGCATTTGTGAAAATGTTAAAAATTTATTAAGTGCAGCAATGTAATAATGATATTACCAATATTCGCATTTAGAGGTGCCAACTTCACAAAGCAACTCTGTAAAGTTGGAATCTGTAAATGCGAATATTGGTAATATCATTATTACATTCGTTTGTCCACTGTTTGTCCACGTTTGTCCGCCCGTTATTTTCTTTGTCCACCCTCCAAAAAAAAGTTATGCACAAAAAAAGATTGTAACATCCCCCAAGTGATTATTTTTCGAGTTCGTATCGATTGCTTGAGAATTCATTTTACTAAATTAATGATTTTTTCGAAAAAATACGAATGAAATATATAAAAAAAAAACGAAGAACAATTGAATAAGATTAAAAGAAGACGAAAATCATCATCTTCATGACTATTTCAAGAAGCAGGGAAAAATTAAAAAATAAAAAGAATACGAAAATTAATAATTTAAAATGAAGACAGTTAATTAAAACTAACGGAAAAAAAGGAAAAAACAAATAATAATCTCATAAATTAGACAAATCCGGAAAAAAATTTTAAGGATGTATAAATGCTTAAATTTTTTAAAAAATTAAGTAAAGAAAGAAGCTACGTTGTAATTTTAGGGGGATTAACAAACCAGTTTGGTCTTTTCCAGATTTGTTTGTGTATCTCCAATAATTCTGAATCGCGCGCGTAGCGCGCGCAGAAAAAGGCTAGTAACAGAAATTTTGCAATGCTCACCATAATGCATTTAAAGCTTTCACGTAAATTTTTATAGCATTTTCTAACCATCTGACTCGTTTCAATTCCTCGGCATCATACTTTCCCAAACCGTTATCAGGTGCCCACCATTGCGAATTCTCCGTTCTCCACTCAAGACCGTTAATTACATTCCTATAAAAAAGAATTAATTTTTAATGAAATATCTCTGTTATATATTTGAAAATTAAAAAGGCTATTTTCGTAAGATAGAAATGTTGTTGAGATAAATTTAATTTTCTCAGACTACTTTAGATAAATAAAGCCTGATCTACAATTGCGTAAACATAATTGTAAGTGATCATAGTTGTAAGAATCCTCCAATCACAGTTGGATATTCTTTTCGTATTCATCTGTAATTGGTCAATTCTTACAACTACAACTACGTTTACGCAATTGTAGATCGGGCTTAATATTTCTAAAATTATAACATCCGTCTGCAGTTGCTTTAAATATATACGTGTAATGTACACACGCGCGCGCGCACACACACATGTATATAGTATATACACGTCTAGTCGTTCCAAACACAAGTTATATTTCATATGCCGTTATATTTTTTAACTGGTTTTAATTTAAGTACAACGTTTACACATTGAGTCCAAGCTAGTTGTTATAATAATTGTGTGTGTGGTACTGTTACGTTATAGAATAGACCTATAAGATAACTTGTTTTATTTAATCTTTAATATTAAACGTCATCACACACATACACATACACGTTATGTAAGAGAATTAATTGCGAATGCAATAATATACATATACATAAATGCATTAACTTATTATAAAAATAAAGCAAAAACAATAAAGAAAAACTGAGCTATTAGGTATATCATATACTAATGTAAATGTTTTTCTGTGTGCTTCTTTTATGCGTAGTACACAAATGTGTACTGCACGAATACACACGTGGTCTCCCTACCGTGAAAGTCGCATAAGACAAAATCATAGGTATGTCATGGTATACGTAAATGGGATAAGATCGTATGTGAACAGGATATGAAAGACATACGATTCATATCCGATCGTTTATGAAGTATATGCGAATCTTACACGAGTCGTATACGAATCGTGTACGAATCGTGTACGAATCGTATACAAATCGTATACGATCATGCAATTAACATGTTATCGCATACGATCAGATATGATTCGTATGTCTTTCATATACGAATTTGAACCCTTCATATACGATTCTTATACCAAATTTACGGTAGGGCTACGAATAAATTTGTAAATATATTTTTTCTTTCTTTAATTTAGAAATTTCAGAAATACGAGTTTTCTATAAAAATTTAATTTTTTGAATTTTCACATTTAGAAAGAAATGGAAAAAGAATGATAAAGGAAAATATTGAAAAATTTACATAAAAGAAACAAAAGATCGTGCTATTGCTTCAAAACGATAAATGCCTGTTGAATTGAAAAATATTTTAATCGACATTCCGATGTTTCTATGAAAAATTCCAAAGGTGCACTTAACAATAAAAACATTGCTGCAAGTAGACGTAGAATGATAAAATTAATTTAAATAACTATAAATGAACTTTGTTTGAATGAAAACAAGTTTAGTTACAAAGCTAGACTTGCACCTTCGTATTTACAATATTCTTTCTTTGTAAAATAGAACATATGCAGTTTACAGAGGGATTTTTCTGCGTTGATTTAAGGATGGCCTCGACGCGGCTGCTGTTCCAGAGAGTGAAACGTTAAAGTACTGGGGAAAAAAGCAAGGGTACCAGCAATTCACCGTGATTTATCTAGGATCCTTAACCTCGATTGAGTCCAATACATTCGACGGAAGTAGAAATCGTGATTTCAGGCGTGTATTTATACGTGGCAGTTTAGTCGCGTAATTGGCACAGCATATGTGATTGATGTAAAATTATTTTATCACGTAAATGTAGTTAGATATTACTAATGATTAAAGTGAAACCGGTAATAATAATGAGAAACGTATGTGCATTTTCAATGAGTAAATTCCCCAGCGCGTCTGTTAACAGTGAAACATTACAATGCCAACGAATTTAACAATGTCAATGACACAAAAATTCAATTTCATTAATTACATGTAACGAGGTGCTTTAGTCGCGTTAAAATCCGTTGTAATTTACGAAGGCTAACCTTTTACATTCGATTACTCCGTTTCTATGCGTAATCGCGATCAATAATTCATTAGCAATTTAGTGACGCATTTCGATACGAGAATCTCGGAATATCGTCTGAGAACTTCTTGTCTCGTTTAAAATAATTTCCGATCATTATGCGTCATTTGTTTTTTCTTGTCTCGTCTCGTTCTGTCTCGAAAAAAATCAGAAAAACTTATGCCAATTTTAATATTAATGTACTGTTTTATTATATAAATGAATATTTTAAATATTTATAAATAAATAAAACGAAAAATCCATATATAATTTTGAACGAAAATAAAATTCGAGAATCTTAAGAAGCGAGCTGAAATATTGGTCCATTGAGACGAGAAAACTTTATGACTCATTAATTTCTATCAAGAATAAATCTCGGTCGAGATGTTTTCTCGTTTTGCCTCGCTCTAATAATGCATCGCTAACAAGTAGCATAGTGTACGTAACTTCATCAAATGATTTATGATTAATATTAAAACGGTAACTCTGAGAAATGCATTGCCAGTACGTAATTTATGTCCATTTTGAGCAGTTTATAATAAAAGTTATAAAAGATATATATATAAAAAATACGAAATTATATATTATACAATATAATATTGTGCAATTTAATTTAGAGTTTAAATAAATTAAAAAAGTTATTCTTTTTTTACTCATTATGAAAAAATGTATGTTTATTTTAACGCATTTAATTATTTCTTTAAATATATAATTACAATAAAACTGTTAAAAATATTAAAATGCACATAAAATAAACTAATATATTTAATTAAAAATCATTTTAACAAGAAAGTTATGACAAGAAGTTTCTATCGAAAAAAGATATATTTTTTATTTAAAATTAAGTGCAAAAAAGTCTTACGAAATTTGTAAATAAGTTTTGTAAAAGAATGTTTATATAGTTACCTAGAATCTTCTAAGAGCAATATAGTATTAGTAGAATTTATTTGATTCAAGTAATCTTTTAAATTTCCCTCGCTGACAATTAGTATGGTTGCATTTTTAAGTTCGTTAAAAAACTTCTCTTTGGGTTTTCCAATATGTACAATATGTGACGTATAATCTACATCACCAAAATTAATAAAATATAGATATATTAATTCGAAAATTGTATTTAAATTATTTTACATTTTTATGTTAAAAGAAATTAATGGATTTAAATGGATTTTACTATAATAAAACTTTGATTTAAAGTTTGCTTGCTGATGTACATATAGTTAACATTAAAAGTTTTTTTACGTTAGTTAATGATTAAAAGAAAATTCTATACAGACTATATGGTGTGCTAAATTTACTGTAATTTATCATACATACTTGTTGAAGTTTAATAATAATTATTATACGAAATATCAAAAATATTAAGTCAATATTCTGTCATACATAGACATGTATAAATATATTTTAATTCCGTAACATTTTAAAAAATTTAAAATTTATTACAAAGTTGATATTTCATTATTAAAACTTTTTTAATTTACGTTATTTAAAAAATATTGTGCTAAAAATGAAACTTTTTATATAAAGAAAATAAAATTATAATTTCATACCTTTTTTATTATTATCGTGGACTATAACACACAAATTGTTCGCTATGGCATTTACCGTTAGCTTCTTCGTAATATTTTGTACGTGATCGTCATTTTTATCATCAACTTTAGTAACTAATGTGAAGGATTTCCACTTTAAAATTTCTGTTATTTTCAAGATTGCCTACAAAAGAAATATTATAGTAATAATAATGTATAACGTATCTTAATTAACCATTTGTTAATATAAAATAGCGCGTGGAATTTAGATAAATTTCAAAGTCTATTATCATTATGGCTAGCATATATCTAAGGACAATATTATACAATAATGATAAAAGTAATATTATTATAAAAATATTATTAACAAAATAATATTAACAAAAAACTACGGATTATATAAAAATATAAGTATTTAAATATTTTAAATACAATAGTATAAATAAATATGCGCGCGCAGTTATTCACTTGCGTATGCATCTAAAATAGGAACATGCGCTTGCATTCTGCGTTGGTAAGGAAAACACTAGATATTTAAATGCCGAGATTGTTTTCTGTAATTTACATATGCTATTAATATCCAACCGAGCTAACATGATTCAATTGTTGTATATATCATGATTTTATATACGCTAAATAATATTTTATACTTAATAACATAACTTATGATATAAAGAATATAATATAAAAACTTTGGATAAACTTAAACATTTTATATGTTATATAAACAACTTTTGCTATTACATTGAGAAAAATACCGTCAAGTGTATTTCAGTATTGTTCTAACACTTTCAAACACTTGCGTAAGGATAATAAACTGCATTATGCAAATATTACGATGAGCTCAGCACTACAGTTAGCAGTTACTTTAATCGAACTAACGATCCCCAACTTTGGTTTATACTGTTTATAGAATAAAACTTCAAGGAGTTCTCAATAAACTTGAGAATGTATTTATTCACAAGTTTATTCAGTAATTAATTAATAACAAACACCTCTACTAAATAGGAGTTCGACTCATCCGTTAAAAAGTGCAAATAAGGAGAAATTGATGGTTTCTTGATAATGTGCGGCACTTTCAATATCGAAGTCACTTTGTGTACTACTTCGATGTTGGTCATGGTATCCGGTCCGATAATTCCTATATAATTATGAGATACATAAATCAATTACCTAAAAGTACTTAGGAATTATAAATTCTATATTTGTAAAGGTATATATTCATTGGCTTTATCTAGTCTATGAAAGAACAATTTTGTCAATCGATGTATTGTTTTTCGAAAAGTTAGTAGTCGAATATTCGCATAAAGCGTTAAGTCATTGCTCCTACCTAAATGATAAGGTGGATGCAAACAGTTGACATCTGCCCATACCAAAGCCTTCATCACCGCTTTCAAAGCACCTGTTATACTTCCGCATGTATCCACAATGGTAATTTCTGTACAAATATTATTTCACAGTTAAATTAATTACTGCATTTTACTTTGTATTGGAATTATTGTCCGTTTAATTATGTATATTCGAGAAATTATTTGACATTCAATGCCACAATGTTTAATCGAAATGAATCATTCTACTTTATATACTTGATTTACCAATTTCGAATCCGTCCGTTTTATTGTTGTGAATCTCTGCGAGAAGCTTGGCGGCCTCATAAAGCGTAACGCCCTTTGGCGATAGCTTTGTACACGATGGATCATCGTGCACGCTTGTTAGAAATGAAATTTGCACTGTTTCGCCACATTCTGTACGTGCACCGCAGGTGCACGCGGCGATCACCACGAGGATTACGTACCAAGTTCGTGAAACTCCCATGTGTGTTCCAAGTAAATAGATCAATACAGACGCGATTGTTTTGAGGTATTCAAATTTGTGAAACGTGAACGCTATTCTGTAAAATTTGTTTATTAAGTAGAATGTATAGGTCGTTATAATGATAATATTAAATAAATATATAAATACAGATTTCTATCACACGTTGCACCACTTACTAGCGTTGTGTAAAAGTAAAGTGATTACAAATTTGTTTCATGGAATTAATCACAGCCACTATAATTAAAGTTAACAAACAATCGCCGTTTAGAATGTAGTAATTTTTTTTACTTTTAAATGAATATTTGCGATATAATTATTTCCTCGTAGGTTCGTAATACGGTTATTTTACACATGGGGATTCGGAGAAAGAAAGGTTGAAGTTCATGTATGAGAAATAAATTATGTAATCCACCATATGTAATTCTGTTTGAAACTTATCGCGGTGTAACGTCTCCTGTGACAGATCTTACTGCACTATTCGCTTCAATTGCAGACCCTGATATTGAATTCTGGAAGCTTTATAAGGTAACTGATGCGATATGCATTATGCGAAATTGTAAGGTTTTGAACGTGTCCTTGTATAACAGAAGCTCTCAATATGCAACATTTGAAGTTGCCCTGGGGAAACGAGAAAACGTTATAAACGTTATCAATTCTTAGTAGCAACTTTATAAAAAATAACAAAATTAATTAAAAAAGGAAATTTGATAAATTATTATATTTTAAAATAATACTTTGTTATCTTTATTTTTTACTGCATTTATATTATTGTATTATTGCTATATTATTTAATACAAATCAAAATTTTGTTGTGCTTCTTTTTCTTATGCGCTTCTTTTTTTTATGCGGTTCTTATATATATTTAGTGTTAGAAATTAAGAAATTATCGATAATTTTTTTTCATTAAATTATTACATTTATTAAATTGTCGATAAAACTTTGCACTAACGAAATGTTTCCCAAATAATTCCTTTCTTTTAATTAACTTACTTGCTTTTTCAGAACATTATAAAATGAGCAAATTTTAAAATACAATAATTTATCAAATTTTCTTTTTTTATCTTTCTTACGATTTTTCCTTTACATTACTTTACATTTTTATTTTTTGTATCATGTAATCGTACTGTTTGATAAATCAAGTTATAATAATAAATTAATGATTTTTTGAATATTAATAAAGAAAAAGCAAGGTCGGATTATAAAAACCTAATTTATTTTTGTGGAAAGGATACTTTTTTGTTAATAAATTTATAAATAGATAAATTACGATAAACCTTTTAACTAAAAAAAAATAAAAAAAATAAATAAATAATAAATAAAAATTTATTTAAAAAATTTATTTGTTTTTAAATTTTTTTATATTTACTTTATTAATTGCGTTAATTACTTAAAAATGTTATATAATAATATTTTTTATTAGTTTGATTTGAGAATCTTTTTTAATTTACATATAATCTTCTTAATATAACAAGGTGGTTGCAAAGAATCCTATATTTAATCCTTCTTATATCACTTGTCTTTTCTTTGTATATTCTTTTTTTGCGTAATCGTTATATGATTGTGTAAACTGTTATGCACATATTTTAAAAATATTGGGTTAATTTAATATAGTAGGTATTTATTGATATTAACATTATCTATTATCTATATTTTTTATCTATTACATATAAAATGTTAAAAATAACAACAATGAAAAGGGAACAATGTGAGAGTCAATACGAATTTGTATAAAGTAGTTTTACGATGTTTGCGATCATTCGATGTCTGAAGATGGCTTAATTCAAGAGCCGAAACTTGTCATTATTTCCAAGCATATTTTTAAAAGAATGTTAGGTATTTTTTGTTAAAGAAGTTTAATCAATTATATGTATATATTTTTTGTTTTATAACTGACTTTATACTAATTCGTATTTGACTCTTACATTGCCTTCTTTTCATTGTTGTTATATTTATTTTTATATAAAGAGTCTTTTATCTTTTCTTTGATATATAATGTTATGAAATGCTTGTTCTTTTACAATTTATAAAATTTTATCTTTTGTTGCAAATGTACTATAATATAAATTAAAAATATTAGTTATTAACAATTATTGCATTATTGTTGAAGAGAAATTATTTAGATTGCAAGATTATTTAAATTTATTGTATATGAAATTGGAATGTGATAGAAGCAGTGTTATTTTTTGTCAAAATGATGACAAATGACATCAGTTGTTAGTTTCGTTTGTTTTAAAAAATGATAAATATTATCTTAGGTTTTTCCATATGATAATATTGATAATATAGATGGCGGTAGAAATCAAGTAGACTACATGTATTGTATGACTATGTGTGAATTATATCAATCCTGAACAGCACGAGATGGCACCACTATCTAACAACAATAATGATAAATTATTTTCCTGCAAGGATGATTGTATATTTAGGTTCAGCGAACTTATGGGGTCCAAATCAAGCTTACATATTGATATACGTATACATATTCTTATTTATACATTACACATACATATACACATATTTTTATAATGGTTTTAATATTTCAGAGGAAAAATGATAGCACACAACAAGATAATTTATAACAGAAATTTTAAAAAATAAGTCTTATGAACTAAAAGATAAATTTATGTCAATTATCGTTCAAAAAATTACAATAAATTATATTTAATATAATATTATAATATTATATTAATAATTTTATTGTAAGAGAGTGTAACAAATGCATTTTATTTAGTGATTTGTCGGGTAATTCCACAATGTAAATAATCTCTGACGAGTTAAATAATTTTAATATAAGTTCAAAAAGATAACATTATCTTATAATCAATAAATAATTGACTATTGAATATATAATGATTATTGGCGATTATTATGGATATCAGAATATGATTGAAGATATTGTAAATATATTTTTTTTTTTTTAATTTTAAATAACAAGTTCATAGTAATGCTTCATATTTTGATTAAATAAAAAAACTCATCTTCTTTCCTCTTTGAATTTTAATATCTTATTTATTTGTCAATTAAAGGTAATATATTGTATAATATTATATTATATTATATTATATATATGTATGATATATTATCTTCTCTATATATTATACATATCTGATGGCTTCATACAAGAACTCGCATTGATAAATGGGATGTAATTTGGCTAAGTGCCGAACGGCAATTAGAAAACGTCATGCTCAATCAACGTTTTGTTTTGCTTACAAGGAAGTGATTTAGACGACTCTTTGATGTTAGATGATTGAACAGACAAATCGTATCTATGCGACCCGTGTGAAATAGACACACTACGCTATCAAGTCATAATTCTTTTAATCAGGCATGCAGACGGTTCACAAACCGATCTCTGCACTTCAAAGGCAAATAAGAAAAAGCGCGGAAGGATATATTTGCGTCCGCGCTAACCATTACTTACGTTGGCACTGAACCAACAATAACAGTGGCGGACTTTTAAAAGCTAGAGACGCGAGACTTCCTCGTATCTCAAACATCCTCATACTGTCCAGTTGTAGGTCGATGCAGACACAGCCTGCAATCTTTATCCATCTCTATCCACACGTCCGTCGGATGTTCGATAAATCCTCTGACGAATCCTCGACGAACAGTTTCACGCTGAACTTCGTAAAGTATACGATATGCTTTAGGGAGAAAAAGGGACGAGAGAGAGAGAGAGAACGATGGAAAATTTACTTATCCTTCTCGTGTTTCCTACAAACTCCACTTTACTCTCATATTACATTTGGATTTAGGAGGGTTTATTTTAACGGTATCAATATTACGTCAGAATCACTGCAGCAGAGTTGAATGACACAATTTAGACTCTTGGGCAATGTAAATTAGGTCAGTGCAATGATTTTTAATGATAAGATTAATAATTGCTATTTCTAATAATTTTCTGATGACAACTTATTTGATTTCGTAATCTTTAAAAATGACTTGTCGTGGAGGAGTCATTATATTGTCCTATTTATCTATAACGATATCAATTATCTTATTTCATCTTACGCGTATTTCGAACTTGCCGCCGACGTATTCTCAATTTATTGCGATTTTGCGATATCGCTAATGGAGTTAAAGTGGTTCACTTTCAAAAGTGACGATATTTGAAACAGAGTTAATGTGGGATAAAGTTTTGTAACAGAAGATACAAATAAGTAAAAAATGTTATATGTAGAATACATTTTTTGCATATTAGATTAATATAATAATTTTTTAGTTTTTTTCTTTCATTCTCTTTCTTTATTTCGTTTGTCATTGCAAGTAATTTAATTTGATCGCGAGAAATCACTAATGTCGATAAATTATAGTTACTAGTTTTGGCTCCGATCCGTTCAATATTTACTTTATAACTTCTTTATGCCATCACATGTTCCACGATACATTTGAAATATGACGTTGGCTCGTAAAGAGGATAGATTCGGAACAAGTGCATTACAATCACGAAGATTACCGAAAAATAGACACATGTTAGTGCTATTAAAAACGAAATTTTGATACGAAAAAAGAAAAGTGAAGAGAAAGATATGAAATGTTTTAGCTTTAAAAATAAAACAAATAAAGTTGATTTCAAAATATTTAGTGGAAGTAATAAAAGATATGGTTACTAGTTTTAGATCACCCTGAGATTCTAGGACAAGAGTTATGACGGGCAGACAGACACGCGAAGTCATCCATTCCGGTCTGTGTATTCTCGTTTAACTAACGCTCTTCTCACACGCATCGTTGAATGATCACACGTATAAAAATCAGTGTCAGTATCTTCATGTCGTAATTCTTTTCCGAGACTTCTGATTTCGGCTGCGACATTGCGGTGCCTCCGCAACGTTAACGTTGACAAATGCTCGCGAAAGTTTATCCGTAATCGACCGGAAACGTGAAGACTGGCCTAGATTTCGTGGCATAAACTTTCCAACAAAAAAACAACGTAATTTTGCAAGTGAATGCTTTCACTGTTGATAGCCTTATTATAAGGTGCCATAAGACAATTAAGC